AACCACGTTATAACTAATATATTTTGCGAAATTAAAAAGACTAGAATCTAATAAATTAATTTTTATATATTTATAGAAGGAATTTCAAGATTTATATTCTTAAAATTCTTATTTGATTATATATTATCATATAAAATAAAATAAATATTATAATTAATAAGGATTTATTTATATATAATTATTATTATTTTAAAAACTAGAAATTAAATATTTTAAATTTCAATTTCTATATAACTTCAAAAAACTATTTGAATTATTGAATTTTTTCTTTTGTTTTATATAAATATATTTTCCTAATTTCAAAAAAATAAAAATGTCTAATAATTCTTTTTAATTTCAAAAATAGTATTAGAATTTATTTAAAATATAGAAAATTATAAAGAAAATCTTCAAATTCGAATTCAAATCATTAAAAAAAGAAAATTATATATATTATTAGCTATATACTTTCAGAATTATCTAGAATATTCGAATTTTCAATTTTTATATATTTATTATTATAAATCATTTAGTAATCGATTTTATAATATAAATTTATTTCATTTTAAAAACGTGCATGATACTGGGACGTGCACGATATAGGGATATCGGTTAGATCCCCAACTGTTTGAAAAAACTGGCAATACCATTGGCAACAAAATTGACGTTGTCATTCTCAAAAACAGCTTGAATAGCGATGTATGGTACGTTGATACCAAGACCCAACCCTGTACCTATAAGTGCCATGTTTGTGGTCCACACAGCAGTGGTAGTGTTGGTGCGGATACTGGTCAGTAATCCTGAGCCGATGGTAGCATTTTTACCCGCCTTTCATTGCCACAGTGCAAAGAGCATTCCCAGGAGTACAAATCCTATGAGTAAAACAAATCGGTTTCGAATCGCTTCACGGAACTCGATCTCCTCCCATCTGTAAAGCCAGGAATAAGCAATGGATGCAATGAGAAGTGCGACTCCAGGAGCGTCGAGCCTTCGAAGCTTTCTCTTCAAGAGAATTTGACGTGGAGCAGGGTGGGCTCCTCCTGTATATCAAAACACATAAAGAATTGATTTGAGTCTGAAGATCTACTTCAGACCTTCGAAGATGAATATGACCGTCAAACAAACCACTTTTGGATCGGAGTATTTGTAGAAGTTGGAGAGAATGGGCGTAAAGGTACACAGAGTCATGCCATACGCAGCATCGCATTAGCCAACATCATCCTGTAAGTTCGGACAGTGAGTAATCGTCCATTGAGGAATATTTTCGAGAAATGAGGAAAATGAGGAGCTTGAAGCTGGATTGGCACATGGAAAGGGTATACAAGATCCTGCTCTTGATAGTCTTCTTAAAAGACTTCCAAATTTATTTATCCATCCACTTTTATTCCAGAATCTCTACTATAGTATTCTAGCAATCAGAAGCGAGAAACCCAGTATTTGACACAGTAAGGTTATAGCTAAACCAAAACGAGTTAATTGTTATTGGTTATATACTCCGTAAAGATTCAAAGACTCAGCCAAGTTGCTAACAAGTTTCGCTTTCCTAGTTTCCGTAAGTAATGGGTTTTTATAGAATATAGAGAGGAAAAGAGGTGGTTTGAGAGATATGCGATTCTTTCGCTAATACTAGCGGTTTCCTCTAATGCGGGAACTCTAGTATCAGTAGCACTCTAGATCATGTGAATACAGAGAATGAGCTGAGTGATATGAAACTTGTATATATGTACCTAAGTCTCTTCATAGGATGAATATATGTTGTCAATTATTTCTTGTATATCATATCATAGGTATATAGATATTGGTATAGTCATATCCTGTTGGTTATGGGTATTGCATTGTGTAGCATGACGAAATTCAAAATATCAGGAGTAAAAGATCCGTTGTCATTGCAATTGCAGTTGTGTTGCACCTCACTCATTCATTTATCAAGGAACAAAGACTC